ATCTCGGTCCGCATAGAAACCATTGTTGTCGATAGGTAATCGTTCCGCGTTAGAGCAACATAATATATAAAATATATCATCGTCATTTCGGCAATAAGAGTTTTATTAGTATCACGTATGTCGTATACAATAATATCGCAATCATACCACAGCCTGCTACAGAAGATGTACGAAGATACGAACCGTATGGTGTGCACTACAATTGTTATTTATTTTATTATTGTTGTGCGAATGCGAAAACTAGCGAATGGGTCTATCAACCCGCATGTGATTTGGCCTCAGAAACACTCCCGTGTTATTCCTCGTACGTACATAATATTATAGGTACTTCCCGGTGAACTAATCTCGGTCCGCCCATCGTCGCGGGTTCAACAGACGTGAAACAAATGCAAAATTACATCACAATTTATTGTTGCGGCTATTGTGTATCATGACGTGCTATATATGTATTCACTTTTAATATTTTTTTATTGTGGAACCTAAACCGCAGCAGCATAGTCAGCGGTCATTATATTATTATTATCGTTCTGGTGTACGGGTGGGTATTAGCCAGTTGTCTGATTACTGCAGTAGTATTATAGCCAGAATAGGTACCTATAAGTTAGGTATTAGGTTTCATTCCAGTGGTGATGGAGTGGCGAACTCAAATATTATCAGAGACAAGTAAACTTTTCAATACCCACTAACAACTATTCTTGAACACCTTTAAAAAATTGAGAGGCAGTCCCTTTCGCCACATTCACCACTGTTTCGTTCTATTTTATAACATAGTAATAGTACTATCAAGAAGTTGGAAGACATGTCTTGTCTAAACGCATTTCGTCATATTATCACATATTATAACATAATTGTATTGTCAGTCTCGAGCCTCATTCAGAATATCTTTCAGTGGTAGGTACCTGCGTAGAAAAAAATTCAATTATTATATCAATGTAACTGCGATGTAAGGTATACGCTGCAACTATAATGTGTTTTTCCCGCGGGATATTTAACGTCTTTGTTCTGCGTTTAGCATCATACAAGTGTGGCGTACAATAATAATTAGCACCATTAGCAGCAGGTACCTAACAATAACCGCGATGTATATAATAATAAGAGAAGGCTGTGAATTTTTAATTATGCGTTTACACATTTTTTTTTTGTTTGCTGCCTTGTACAAAGAAAGAGCAAATCGAATTCGATCAACTTTTTTGTTTGGAGATACTTTATAATATTGTAATAGTAACAAATCAAAGTCCATAAGACATTAACCAACTTCTCACGCTTTGACAGAGCCAATGAGTGTGTGTGTATCTGATTTTAAAACTTAATAATTGAAATATTTAGTTTGTGTTATTTTATCTGCAAAAAAGCCAACTTAAAAAAGCGAGTATGTGAGTAACGCTCTGTTGTACATTAGGTTTCTATAGATAGTCATTGTAATGGATGTGTAACTTGTGTACAATTTGAATTGGATGATACAAATTAATTATTTTACATAAAAACAATTCGTAACGTACTTAGTGGTATCCTGTATTTTATTGGTATAGTACCTGGTTAGTATACTCATGTATTTGGTCAGAACCATATTTATTAAAGCGTAGCAGGTACCTATACAAGGAAATGTCGCAAATAACTCATTTATCGAAATTTCTAATGCATACGTCAACGGCGAACATTCGTATTATTTGTCGTTTAATCTATATGATAATAAAATATAAGAATAAAACACAGTTTTTCTGTCGTAGACATAAATGAAATGGCAAATGTAACTATCATAGTTTTATATGCGTTTATGTAACGGATAGATTTCGACGATTGAAACGATCGTCGTCGCGGTAGGCTGTTTTGTTATCATGCGAATTGTCAAAACAATATAGTTCGTTGTTGAAATAATATGTTATTACAAGTCGTAGGCGCKTCCGGGTAACTATGGTTAGTGGTTACCGTACGAGTACGAGTATACCGTATTACCGTAATACCGTCTATATAATTTAATCGTTTTCTTTATAATCGAGTCATTTTTCATTTATCAAATTTATTAAAATATTATTACCAGTTGACCGGTTTCGTGAAGGTTAAACAAGTAAGTAGGTAAGGTGAGTGTTGTAATTTTTTTAGTTTCAATTAGGAAAAATAGAAATCTAACTTTATTTTTACAAATGCATTCTCAAGCAGGTACGCTTAAATATTTTAGTATTTATATATTATATTATACTGTTAGTAGGTACCTTATATATTATTGGAATAAATTAATAAAATTATACTGAACATTGATCAATATTGATATATATATATATATATATATGGTGATGGTGATCATTTGCAATGATTTACGTATATGTATACGACTTAATGATCTTAATTTGTTATTCAAAACTGAAATAATTCGTTTAGTCGTTAATGAATTAACTAAATCATATTTTTATTCATATGTATAAATAAAAAATGAACTGTCGACCGATTACTAAACGCGGTAACAGCAAAATTGTCCTTATCTTTTGTTGGTTTTAGAAGCTGAGAATCTTTAAGTAACACTGAAGTGACATACATTTAATACCTGTTATTATATATTAACCATATCTCGTACAATCACTTCAAATTCAAAATATATTTATACCTAAATCCTGATTGAATCTTACTCGCATCTTGAAAAAATAAATATATTTGTAAATCTTAAAGCTAATAAGTATTATATCATCTTGATTTTCTCGAATAACTACAGGACTCGTGTTGTATATTTCATCATTTATAATATAAAACTTCGTTTATTAGCTAAAAAAAGTAAAAACAAAGATAAGTTTAGACAGTTTAGTAAGGTACCATCCAATTAAACTTGGAAAAATACAAAATTTATTTTACATTGATGCATATACCTACAAGTTTTTTTTCATTGATCATGTTATAAAATATGCACAAATATATATTATTATTTTTTCCTTGAAAGTCTTGTTATAAGAACTCGATTTTATTTATATATTTATTGTCCTAGTATGCTGTATAATATTATATATAGCATATTTCCCAAACGATATATATATTTTTTAATCTTTCCGTTGTCAATAAGTATATATTACATTTTATATATTGCAATATTTGAATCACTCATCACGTTGTGAAAGCGCGAAAGATCAAAAACATATCATAACGTATTTTGAAATTACCATCAGACAGCTGATGCGTTTTATGTGATATCTCGTGAACGTATTTGTAAACATAATTATTGCACTTTCGCCGCACCCGCGCGTATGTACCTACCCACCTAAAACATAAGTTTTGTATTAGTTATTATTATTATACACTCTCGTTCAAGGTGGCCAATCGTGATGGACGAAATCTGAATGCATTGAACTTGACAGTTCATGATCACGAATTGTTTATATCGACCACAGTATATATTAATCATATTTTATGTTGTTCATTGTACCTATTTTGAATATCGTATATAGCCGTGAGTTGCGATGATCCGTAAAACCACAATATAAGGTCCGGGTGAGTCTATTGAACACGGCGACTTAATTTATTCCGATGCTTAAACACGTAGTGTATTTGAAACTTGAATGTTATACTTTAAACTTTAATGTTCAACATATAGTAGAATTTTTTTCGATGCGTTGGTACAAGTAATTTCCTGAAATGTTTAAAAAAAAAATAGATCCAAAGGTATACCAAGCAATCACATATATTTTTTAACCTTTATTATTTATATTTTTGTTTTTTGTTTTTTTTTTTTTTTATTAATATTTTACTACTTTTTTTGGTTGGTGGAGGGGGGTAGGGGCGAAAGTTTTAACGTTATGTGATTTACTGATATGATTGATACATTTTGCAGGCTTGGAGTGCATCTGAAATTTTTTGTTGGGTTTTATATTTGCCATCATTTTATTTAACATCATTGCGATGGTTACTATGACGAACAGTACAAATATTAAATTATAATATAATAATTATACTAGGTTATATTTTTTTTATAATTGATGATTTTATCAGTTGTTATGGTGACATAATTCGTTATTGTAATGAATGGGCAAATAATATAAAATAATAATTATAATTATTTTTTTGTGATTCAAAAGATTGTCCAATTGTCTTTTCCAACGAAAGAAATTTTCAATGATTTTMTATTTTGTTTTTAAATCACCAACATAATATAAATATGATACATTATTAATTATTTATTGTTTTAAAATTAATTTAATATCTCTATGTTTTATGATTGCTGTTTGACAAAAAAGTGAAAAACAAACAGATAAAGATCGATAAATCGTCGTCCTAAATGACATAATATTAAATGTAGGTAACTATAATAACACAAAAATCAATACATATTTGTATAGAAAATTAATTTAATCATACATATGTTGTACACAGTAATAATAGTAATAAGAATATAAGAATTACATAATATAAATTATAAAACTAAGACATTTCTCGACTGAAGAGTTCCTTTTTCCGATTTTATTGGATCCAGAGTAAATTCTTATGTTTCTACACAATATACATAATATTATTATGCTTAACTTAACATTATTGATAATATAATCAAATTATATTGTTAACGATGTTATAGTTATATTCAGCGCACATACGATTCATAATAACTTAATGCAAACATAAGTATACAATATACATTATGGTATTTTTATGATAGAGAAAATTTTTCACTTATAGAATAAATATTTAATAAGTAAAATTTTTTTATATACAAATACAAAATATTAAATAAAAATATGTTTAAAGTTGTATGAAATGAATTTCATAATATGTAAAATAGCTGAAAAGTAGATACAATCGATAGGTATATATATATATATATAAATAAATGTTTGTTCAACGCATACTCGCAGCTAATAAATTATTTAAATGTGACTAAAACATAATCATATTTATACGTAAAAATAATATGTACAAAATATTTTTTTTCTAGACGTTGGCACAGATTTGTATCCCGTTGTATCTTTGGTTTTATGTGGACTTTGAGACGTATATACGAGTGATATATTATTTTATTATTCTGTACACTACACTTACTATACTCGATAATTACCGACGTCTGTCATATACAAGCATCGTCGTCTCTCGTCATCTCTTATTATAACCTTAAGATACGCGTGTACATAATATATATATATTTAATATCTAGTATATTATACTTTATATTATTCATGGCTCGGACACCAGGTCGGTGATCTGTTTGTTCTTTTTGCTCTTCACGCACCTGCCCTTATAACATATTTCAGTCTCCATAGATACCTTGGTCGTGGTAGACGTGACCGGCGCAACAGGTAGTTCCGTGACCGCGGCTGCAGTGATGGCGGTAGCGTCGGTTGGCTCTGTTTCCGCAACTAAGTCCATCGTCGACTCTTCAGCTGCCGTAGGTGCCGTTACGGTTTCAGTCCGTGGTTCATCGCCACCACCACTGATGAATTTAGCCAGCATGTCAGCCAAGTTTCGTTGGAATGCCTCGTCTTGTTCGTCGTCTGGGTATTTGACTGTGGATGATGATGACACTTCCGGAGTCTGAGTGGTCTCAGCCGGACGTTCTTCTTCCATCGTCGTTACCGCCGCGACTTCTGCGTTGTCAGAAACTGTAGTTACTAACTGTTGCTTCTGATTACTGGCAGTGGTTACGGGTGCAGTCATGGTTGTCGGAGCAACTGTGGTAGTGGTGGTGGTGGTTGTCGTAGAAGTTAGGTTAGGTTCTTCCGGAGCGGCTGATGACGAGACTCCGAATTCGGTGGTCGCTTTTGTCACTAACTCTTGAATGGCATTCGCTGAAAGCGGGCCTAAAGAGTTTTGTGACTCAGCCGTATCCAGATTGTCTTGCGGCTTCTTCACTCGTACTCTAACCCAATGGCCTCGACGGCCTGGCGTTTTTTTCTCAGCGTTCGGGTCACGAGCTTTCTTGTCATTATTACTGCCAAAATTGTGTTTTTCCTTCGAGAAGTCTTCGTCCGCTGGTGGTTCACCGCTGCTAAACTTGCTGTCTGGCCCGGAAGGTGCTTGTGTGTACCTTGTGTCTAACTCATAACCATGACTCTGCTGTACAGTTACTGGTTCATTCCAAAACGACGCGGCCTCTTCGATTTTTTTCTGTTCGTCTTGTTGAATGGTCTGCTGTCCCTCTTCTTGGAACTGTTGCTGCACTGGCGCGGCTTCTGTAGTGGATGTAGTTGTTGTTGTCGTTGTTGTTGTCGTGGTTGGTCTTCTGCTAGATCTCGATCGAACAAACTCTGATCTACTAGCTTGTGTCGTTCTAGATCTCAGAGGGTTTCTCGTAGTTTCGGTTGATTCAGTAGTTGTCGTTGTCGTAACCGGGCGACGTCTCTTTAAAGGATTATATCTTTGCGTCGATATTTCTGCTACCTGTTCGGACACTACTTCCGAAGAACCTTCCGAAGTGCTCGGAGACTCTGTCGTAGGTCTTCTGGTTGTAGTTAATCTCTGCCTTGGCCTCAATTTCGATCGTTCCTTGGGTTTTTCACTGGATTCGATAATGTTTTGAGTACTTGGTGTTTCTACTGGCTCTTGGGTTGATGTTAACAATAGTTTATCATAATACGACAGGCGTTGTCTAAGTTTTGGTGTTTCTGTGGGGGATAACGTTGCTACCGTCAGAGGTTCTTCGGATACGGTTTGAGGAGTATTGAAAGTCGGTTGAACTTGTTCAGTGGATGACTGTTGTTGGTTTAAAAAGTTATTTCCCACCTGGTACTGGGAAAGTGGTTGTATTTGTTGAAAGTTTTTAAATATCTGTTTTTCAGTTGAGCTAGAAATAAACTGCTGCTGATTTCTTTCCGGATTGTTTAGATCAGTTACTGATTGAGGATTGTTTGGAATTTGCTCTTGAATGGTTTGAGAAGGATTGTCTAAAAGTTGTTGATGATTTTCATAAAATGGCTGTTGGCTTGGTTGTTGATTATTGAAAAATTGTTGTTGTTCGAGTTGAGACAAATTGTCTAAATAGTTTTGGTGGTTTTGTGGAACTTGTTGATCTGCGAAGAACTGCTGTTGTTGTGTGTTGTCAAACTGTTGCTGCTGTGTGTTGCCAAATTGCTGCTGCTGTGTGTTATCAAATTGCTGTTGTTGTACATTTCCAAATTGCTGTTGCTGTGTGCTCTCAAACTGTTGTTGTGGTGTGTTATCAAACTGTTGCTGTTGTTGTTGTTGTTGTTGTTGTGTGTTATCAAACTGTTGTTGTTGTGTGTTATCAAACTGTGGTTTCTGTGTGTTATCAAACTGCTGTTGCTGTTTTTCAACAGATGCTTGCGTAGTTTCAAAAATGGTTTGTTGTTGTTCCGCTGGTTTTCGTGAAAATTTCTGTCTAATGGAAGTTGGTGTACTCTCCAAAAAGTGTTGTTGATCATTCACCGAAGTTGAAATTTCTGGTAACCGTTGTAGTTCTGCTGGTGTTGTAAATTGATCTCTTTGACGTTCTGTGATATCATTCAAAGGAGTAGTCGTGCTGAAACTGGTCAATGAACCCCTATGTAATGGTTTTCTTTGCCGATTTCGTTTAGGTGTGGCTGACGTGACATCAGTGCTAGGTTGAGCTCTTTCGGTTACTCTTTGCGTAGTACTCGACACAGATGGTTGTAAAGAGTTCACCTCAGTCGGCAATTGAGACGTGAGTTTGAATGGATTGAGTTCGGTAGTAGAGGGAACAACTGGAGACTTGGAAGACACAACTACTGATCCTATATGAGGTGGTGGGAATGGAATTTTTGCGTAACCAGGCGGTGGCTTAAAATTAAGTGGAGCGACGAAAAATGGTAAGCGATCAGCCATTGAATCAATTTTAGTAATATCGAGTGACGATAAATAAGGCAATGCAAATTTAACATAACCTCTAGGTACATCAAGATCAGTTGGTCCGACAAACACTTTGGGTGAACGATTGCCAATTGTATCTAACACTGGTATAGTTTTTGCGTCTTTTAGTATGGTCAGAACTTCGTTTATCTTGTTATCCAGTCGTTTTTCCATGTAAACAGAAAGTGGAGGTTGATGTGGAGGCGGATATGGTGTTGATGGAGTTAGTACTGCTTTTTCAGTCAAGCTTGGTGAATCAAATGACTGCTGAGGTGCTAATGTCGAAGGTTGTGATAGTTGAACCTTCGGCTTTGATTTTTGTTTTATTTCTTGTTCTTGTTTAGGTCTCGTTTCCTGGAAATTAGGGACAACGTTTTGTTGAATTTCTGGTTTTGGCCTTAATGACTCGAAATTGGGAGTGAATATTTGTTGCGCTGTTTCTTGTTGTGGAATTTCTTGGAAATTTTGAACGAATTGTGGTTGAGATTCTAATTTTGGTTCTTCAAACTTGGGAACGAATTGCCCTGGTGGTGGCAATTCTTGTCTTGGCCTATTTTCTTGGAAATTTGGAATGAACTGTTGTTGAGGTTCTAATTTTGGTTCTTCAAATTTAGGAACGAATTGAGGTGGTAGTTGTGTGTCTTGTCCTGGCCTAGTTTCTTGGAAATTGGGAATGAACTGTGCTTGAGGTTGTAACTTCGGTTCTTCAAACTTAGGTACGAACTGCGGCGATGGTGATGATTCTTGCCTCGGTCTCGTTTCTTGGAAATTCGGTACAAACTGTTGTTGTGGTACTAATTTTGGTTCCTCAAATTTAGGAATGAACTGCGGTGGTAGAAGAGGTTCTTGTCTCGGCTTTGTTGTTTCTTGAAAATTGGAAACGAACTGTTGTTGAGATTCTAATTTTGGTTCCTCAAATTTGGGGATAAACTTTGGTGGTGGTAGCTCTTGTTTTAGCCTTGTTTCTTGGAAATTAGGTTGGGCGCTTTGGGGTCGTGATTCTTGTCTTGGTCTCGTTTCTTGGAGATTCGGTTGTAAATTCTGTGGTTGTGGTGGTGGTCCCTGTCTTGGTCGATTTCCGTCAAAGTTTGAAACGAAATTTTGTGCAGATTCTTGCCTTGATTCATCTTGATTGGGCGTGAAAGTTTGTTGTCCTTGTGGTTTTGTTTCTTTTGGTTTATCTTCGAAGGACGGTTTTTGGAATCTATTATCGTGAAATTGGAAAAAGTTGGAAGGTGGATTTCTTGCGTCTTCGACAAATTGAAATGATTGTGGACCAACTGGCTGTTCATTTTGAGGCAAAAACTCTGGACGCTGTTCTTTCAGTTGATTTGGGAAACTAGGTTTACCTTGTTCAAATAACTGTGATGGTGGTGGAAAACGGGCCGCATTCTGTTCAAATGATGGCGGTGGTGGTGGTGGTGCAAAACGATTAGGATCTTGTCCGAACTGTTGAGTAATCGGGAACTGACCTTCAAATGGTTGCGGTGGTCTTTGGAACTTCAGTTTTCCAGTTTCAAACGGAGATTGCGCCTTCGTGTCGATCTGTGACTGTTGCTGTATCGGCCTATCGGCTTGCAACCTGGGCTTTTGTCTCTGTAATGCTTCAATGGGAACGTACACAAGTTGCACCGACCCTTTGTTTTGTTGCTGGATGAACGGTGATTCAGGAAATGTCACTTTGTTTTCCTTCGGCACGGGTTGGATTTGTGGTTGAGGTATGAACGTGAATTGTGGTTGGAAATTGGGTACTCCCTGAAATCTACCCTGGAACGGGTTCTGTTGGTTGAAAAATGGTACCGGAAAGTGCACTGGTTGCGGTATTTTCGACGCTTGTTGTTGGCTGAAGAACTGAGCCGATGATGCCGCTGGTGTTGTGACTTCGTACGGTTCACCAGCTGGAGCCCGGTTAAAACTGTTTTGTTTGGCATTAAAATTAAATGCACGGCTAGAGGGGACGGCCGGTGGATTTAACAGACGTCCGACTTCGTCAACGCCGCCTGCTTCGCCACCAGATTCTAGATTCTTATGACACGTTGGACAAGACGCCGTTATGGGTACCCAATCGTCAACACGTTTTTCTGCAGTTTCCGGCCGGCTCCATGTTTCTTGTGGCCGTACTGGTTCACTCAGCAAGGCCGTGCAAAGAAGCACGACCAATCTCCACCCTTTCATGATCTATTAGGACCTGTTGAAAAAAATTTAATTAGTTTTTCGATTTTATAAATATTTAAAAATGTCATGCTAATTTATTACAAATAATAGGTGAACATCGTATAACTATAATAAAATGTAATATTAAAATGAATTAATAAATTTTGTTGGAAAATCCTAAAATATCCCTATGATTATTTCAAAATTACATACATTTTAATAAAATTATTTAACTTCTTAAAAAAAAAAAAAAAAAAACAATTTAATTTAAGTATTATAGAATTGATAAAAAAAACTAACGGATTATTATGGCATTATCATACAGATATATTTTTTGTTGATCACCTAGTTATCCATTACGCCATGGTTGTTGAGTAACTAATATATTATTAATGCCGGTATATCACCTAAAATCGTTCGTGCAGACATTTTATAATACGATAATTGTCACACCGGAACTATTTAGATTGTACCAATATGTATATCAGGTCACATTCAAATTAAATTATGATTAAATTGTCCGAAACTTCTAATAAAATGTAAGCGAAAATGCTCAGAGTAATAGAAGGACACCGTCAAAATCATTTTCAACACACGTTCCTCGAATTAATGACATGATACAATGTATAAGTACCAATGTTTGATGTTAAGCTATACGTGACATTCAACGTTCGAAACTTTGTAACAAAAATAAAATCGGCACGCTGTGTTGTTGTTTACATCGATATTATTTTTTATTTATGACATAATATAGTTGAAAAATTTATTTCTTTTTTCGTTCGGGGAAAAGTAAAATAAAAAAAACTATTTAATTTTATAACATAGATCTATACGTCCAATCATGCGTACAATAAATAGCGTGCCTGCTATACTTAATAGTAGTGTAATAATTAATTTCACGGAGGATGTACTTATTATGGTTGTATATACCAAAAAAAAACAAAAACGGATATAACTGCAATACGCGATTGTCATGCAGCGAACTGCTGAGGCAATGCGATAAAAATCATAAATTTATTATTTTGCTTTTAGATCGTATGTATATAAATATTAATAAAAACGGTTATATATTTTTAATTATCTAGAAATACATTTGACTGTACAATAGATTTGTGCTTGTAAGAAGTTTTTTATTTGTTACGCTTATATCAAATAAGTGTCTGTCGAAAACTAATTAGCTATTAATTTGGACTGGGGCTTTAATGTCCTAAAAATCCCAAAGAATGTCTTTAAAAAATTCAAAAATGACTAAAAAAATGCATTTTAAAAATAACTAAACAAATAACAATAACAAAATATATTATAAGCGTATTTTTATTTTGAAATAAGTATTAGTAGTATAAATGTATAATCGATATCAAATTTAAAAATTTTGTACAGACTACTAGATGTATGACCATAACTTATTGACCTGTTTATCGTATACATCGCCTAAACTCACCATCTAGATTTTGATATTTCAACTATTGGCCGATAATATAACACGAATTACTAGTACCTACTTTATAACCTGATGTATTTATTTAATAATATAAAAATCAGGTTGCTGTGTAAAAATCACAAAACAAAATTTATAATTCATATTTTGTTTTTAAAATTCAAAAAAATACTCCAAAAACTCAAAATTCCCAAAAAATTTCAAAAATACATAAATAAACAATTGAACAAATTCAAAATTTTGAAAGTCTTGTTTTGATCATCACTGCGACACTGCAAAAAATATTTTACACACCTCTGTACTTATATTTTAAGAGCGAGTTTTAACTTTATTTTTATATACAAAATAACATATAGGTACGTCGTTTGACTCACGATGCTTTACAGTAAATACTGTTGGCTATATGTATAATATTATAATTTAGTTTGATGACGTTCATCAGTGCTGGTGAATAAAAATGTCGGAAATATGAGTTTTTTTTAAATTGGATCTTGCCAAAACAGACGACAGCGAATACGCGTCTGGCCTCTGCGCATATGTTTTTCTCGTTACCTACTCGGATTCTTATATAATTATTTACTCGAGTTTACCACGCATGTTTATGCAGGTAAAACTGCATCAGCACTGCATGTACGGCTGTAGGGCGTAGACGAGCAACAATAACACGCAAACGTTTACGTCCTTACTGGTAATTATTGCAATTTGAAAATCTCGATTACTATATATTTTTATTTTTTTCCGTTCAACCACTTCTTTATAATCATCTTGTTTTTGCGAACCGATGATTTTCGTTCTGATCAGTAGTCGGCAATTACCATGGACGACTTCTAACTAACTCGCGGATGTAAATGCATTAACTGCGACCCTGATAGTCATCCGGTAAAAAAATAAATCTATTACGATAGTGAACATTTTATTATACATTTTACTATATAATTACATTATACAAACGAAATGCTGCAGACGAACGTTCATAATTATAAATGTATTAAATGAGCAATTTAACATCAATAATAATAATTGTTATTGTATTGCGCATTGTCAGAGACGAAACAAATTCGATAAACACTGAATGATGTCTGATGTCTAACTATGTATAGTACGTCCTACCCATTTTATAATATTATATTAATAATAATTCCTATGCCGAAATGGTTCTCGTTTCATAATATTTTTCTCTTCTTTAAACGATATTATTCAAACGTTTTACATATTTTAACGTGGCTACGTTTATTTTATAATTGAAACAAAAAAACTCGTTATGATTGGTAACGTCGAGATTCCTTGGAACGGAAAAGAGAAATAAAAACGAAACCATTACCATCAAGTGTTCGTGGGCAAAAAAATATGCATGTTCTACATGTGCGCTGGAGTCGCAAAGACGATATGCAGGTAAGGCAATTATACATCGTCTTTAATAAAAGAATATTAATAATCGTTATTAAACGAGGTTTTTTTTTCGTTTTTCAAAGTCAACAAACCGTATATCACCGTCGCCGTCCGACAGACTGCGGTTGCCTGCAGCAGTAAGTTGTGTTCTCCTGCGGGCTGCCATGCATTTGACCGAGCGAATTTGCTCGGCGAAATCAACATATTATTATTATTATTTATTCGTATTTTACAGGCGGCATGTGCCCGTGCGTATTATGTGTAGAAAGTGAACTTGTCGCGGCGAGACGATATTTTATTTTAATTAATAAAATATATTATTATGTAGGCATACCTACGTACGACGGGGGTCCTATAAAACGCGCACGCGATAATACGTGATCAGTCGGAGCTCGGAGATGCTTCCTGTCCAACCACCTCAGCAAACTGCCAACTATTATAGGTAGGTGTAGGTATACATTGGCGCAGGAGAAAAGTGGACCGGTCAAACGACGACGACGACGATATTCGCGTGTGTGGACGAGGAGAATGCGAACGAAAACGAAAGCGGTCCGTCATCGTAGAACGGAATTCGAATAGTGATAAATAATAATAAAACAGGTAGTATAGGTAATGTGATCGCGCCAAACACGTGTAGGCAGAGTCGTGTAGGATAATATTGCGCAATCGATTTTATAGTTCCCGGATTTTGATCTGCTGCACTGGGTGAGACCGAAACAACGGTATAACGGTTCTACATATACATAGTGTTTTGTTAATTTCTTTTTTTGGAAATTCGATCGTTCTTGTGTGATGATGGCTTTTACGCCGCGCACGCAACTATCTGCATTAATATAACATATATATTATGGCTATACGCACACCGACATCGACAATAATAATCGATGAAAATTATTTACGATAGTAATTTAATAATTAGTATTAATCATTAAGTCGTCATTATCGTTTTGTATTTCACTATTGAAACCATTTTTTTTCGACACTTTGTTTTTACGAAACATACTAGCTTTTGTGTAATTACGGGAGAAAATCGGTGGGTCGAGTTCGAATATATAATATTATAGGTACCTCAGTACCTGTCTATAATAATAAGAGGTATAGGTCGTGTGTCTATTATGAGTGAAACGTTAAGTATATGGCAAGAATGTGCGCGTTGTTCAAACTTCGTCGTCGCCGTCGGCGCGATAACTATTGACAATTATCAATATAATAATATAATTATCATAATATATTATGTTTAAAACGATTTAAAAAAAAAATCGCGTGGACTTATAATTACGAGACGAATGATTTTAATAGTTGGAAGAATTCACGTTGCAATGAAATCGATAGTAATGATATGAAATAGGCATGTATGTACCTACCTATAATACGTCATAGTATTATTGTCACAATAATTATTATAATTTGGTTTGGAATTTTCGAACGACAAATAACAATATTACGTGCGTAGATTATGGTGTAAATATTTGTAGGTATCTACTCGGCGATTAAATTACTCAGATATTTAACGAAACGTAACAGTGAAATCTTACGAGCATTCGAAAAAGAACGGTTTGCTGGACCGCGCGAACACGATGTAAAGGTGCAGAGGAAAGTCCGTATATCCGTCTTAGGTAGGTTCATATATATATATATATATATATGTATAGTATAAAATAGGAAGTGTCTCGGTTTCCGAATTGAACGTGTTTTAAAACTTTCTGACTCGGCCGTCAGATTTCGACGTTTTGAACTCAATAACATGGAAAAATGTATAATGATATATTTTATTCGTCGCATGAAAGTTTGCTCCTGCACGCATCGTTAATCACTGCAGCAAAAGAAATCGAAACCAAATATGAGCGAAAACTATATAAACATTAAAAATATCGTGTTACAATCGTTGTTGGTATGCCTATATATACTCTTATACTCAAATATAAAACTTGAACACACATTACAATAATAATACGTTCGTATTTGTTGGTTCAGCGTGTACCCATTACAACGGGTATACAATAAAATGTTTATGCTCATAATAATATATAACGTTATAAATGTACATTTTTTTTTTTTTCAATATTTAAAAAACGTTTAAAAATCTTTGATCTTATTCGTTTCGGTTTTCACTAGACGGCAAGAAAAAAAATCACAATAGCATACAATATACTACTCACTAAACAACTAATGGTCGAAATGCGTGCATTATATTGTTCGTATAGCTG